TTCGCGAATACATGGCTGACTGTTTGATGTGAGTCTAGCTGAGAAAGAATGCCATTGCTGAACCTGATAAAAAGAGCTTCTTTAAGAAAAAGGTACTTTATTCAATAAATCCAAACAATCTATGCACTTTTACCAATATTCAAGCACAGTGATCTCAGGATTGTGGTGTATTGAAAGTTCTGACTGACGCACCACTGATATTAATGGAGAGGTACCAACAGCAATTTTTGCTGTCGAAGTTCACAGTTGGGACTGGCCACACTAACTTTCACCACAAACAGTAAGTGTTCCACTGAGCATCCAGGCTCCCCTGTGGTACTCTGGGTCCTGTTATACTTGGGGATTTCTCCCAGCCATTGAGATGGACAGCCAAATACACCTCCCCAAGCCTAGATCCAGGATCTACGCCCGGTCGAGTTAACTTCAGCTGTAGTCAAGAAAGTTGGGGCCATTTAATTTCCAGCTAATTTGTGTTGAAAATTATTTCATTCTGATTATTCTCAGCAGCTCAGAATGTTACCTGCATCTCCAATAACTTTTTCCATCTGGCCCAGTAGAACTAGGTGGGTGAAACAGATTAGGTTGCAGTAAGAACAGGAATTAAGGCAAGAGCATTATTCCTGCCATAACTATTGTGGTTAGCTACAAGAAACACTCCTTACTCATCTTTCTGATGTCAGAGTGAATTGATGTGTATATGGGCAGGCAGTATCAGATCCATGTAGTAAGGGAGAGACCTGAACCCCTACAAATCTCATCAGGACTGAATAACTCCAAAAAAGGGGGGGGGATAATTGTTTCAATATAGACTAGTATAGCTGTAAATTAATAAAGTTCCTATAGTGTGTCAATGTTAATATTTAAAAATATGGATGCTTCACTCAGAAAGTACAAAAACAGAGCAAGCTGTCTTAAGCCCAAAATAGCCCATCACCAACTAACTGATTAGTTGTTCTTTCTGACTGAATTTAGAACTTTGCACATGAAAAGCATGTACTCTGCCACAGCTATGGCCCCTCCCAGTTTTATTAATAACTTAAGAGAACAATTTAGCAAAGTGAAGGACTCTTTGAACTGTACTGATGTCACCGTTATGATCAATCAGACTTCCAGGTACTTGGCTTCCACATTAGCTTTTTAAGCTGACAAGCTCCATGTCTCTACTTGCTTGCCTCAAAGCCTCTATAGAGATACAGAATTAGCATGCTGGCCATAATTCTGAAAGACAATTTTTAAAAGAGTGTCTTACGTCAGATAGTTAGAAGTATTTGATCCTTGTGAGGGATTTGAGGGATTTAAAAACCATGGCACCTGAAACCCAACATCCTTAACAGCTTTAATTGCTTCTGAAAGATCTCAGTCACATGTATGACATGTGTTGTATTGGCAATAGCAAACATACATGGGTCACTTTGCCAACTCTGAGGCCAATTAATCTTGTTTTTAAAGAGTTGCCATTATTGCATGCTATTGGAATGCATGGTAAGGAAGGTCACATCCTCTGTACTGTGTACCTTGTTGGCTTCAACGCATAAACACGTCCAGGCAACAATAGTAGCACACAGCTTCTGGCCTGGCTTAAAATAATAAAAGGGTGATTTTGTACCCTTGCTCATAAGCTTTCCATGGGATGGATGAACGACATGAAAATATAAAAACAGATGCCAATATAATCTCTGTTGCTTTTCACTTTACAGAACTTGTTCGGTAAGAACTAGTATGCATTTGATGTGCTATATGATCTCCTCCTCCCCTTCACACAAAAAAATAAGCAGCATGAATTTTGAAGCACTATGTAAGGGAAATGGGTTTGCTTCTTATTCAGCCTATTGATTGTCACCCTGATTTTATATCTATACTGCAAGACCCATTACCAGTGCCTGGCTGTGAAGGAGAAATAAGGAAGAGAGAGAAAGATGAGAGTGAGCTGTCCCCTCAAATAGAAATCTCTTTAGTGGAAGAAGGAAGAGGGGGGGAAAGGAGGAGGAGATAACTCTACCAATGTGGGAGGAGGATATAAAAGATCAGAGAAGAGGGGGAGAGTTCAGTATATCCAGGGAAGGAAAGAGGGGAAAAGTAGAGAGAGGGAAAAAGGTGAACAGGGATATTTATTTATTTATTTATTTTATTTAATTTATATGCCGCCCACTCTACCCAGAGGTAGTGTGTGTGTGGGGGTTATTAGGAGATTTTTCTAATTTGAAGATAGGAGGATTACTACCTGACCCCGACTTGTCAAAGGGAAAGGGAACATCGACAGTGACACTAGAATGGACAGTTGTGGTCTTTCTGTGGGGACCAGGTCACTTGAGGAAGGTAATCCAACCAGACCAATCTTTCAGCCAACCACCACTGGAGGGAGATTTGGCCAGACATCCTTGTTACGGGACAATTTGTGAGGTTCAGGGTGCTCCAATGAGGAAACACACCGACTGGGAATGTTCTGGACCAGCCCCTCAATGAACATTGCCAATTTACAGACAGAGTCCTCATCTTCAAACTTTGGACAGCTGCCAGATCTCACTTATTTTGAACCTACAGAAGTTGTTGTGGAACCACCAAATGTTAATCCAAATAAATCTGTTAATATTTTAAGAGGCTCAATCGTCATTTCCCGCCAAAAGAGTGGAGCTGCTTCAAATTTCTAATGAACCCAATCACAATGGCACCTAACATGATTGCGATCGCAAAATGATGTTTTAAATGGGGGAATTTCGCTCCACGTTGATCTGTCCCTGTTTCAGGAACTGATTTTTCGCTTTACGATGATCAGTAAACAGCTGATCATCGGGTTTCAAAATGGCATCTGGCTTTCAAAATGCCCCCTGCTGTTTTCTAGGACGGATTCTTCGCTATACAGGCACCAAAAATGGCCACTGTATGGAGGATCTTTTTCTGGACAGTGAGTTTTTCAGCCCATTGGAACGCATTGAACGGGTTTTCAGTGCGTTTCAATGGGATTTTTTTGTTTCGTTTGACAATGTTTCCGCTCTACAGCGATTTCGCTGGAACAAATTAACATCGTCAAGCGAGGCACCACTGTACTTGTTTTGCTCTACAAAGTCTCACAATGAAACAAATTTGCTAGTCTTTAAAGTGCCACAATATTTTTGCCTTTTTCCACCTTTCTTCCCCTTTAATTTTTCCAACATGCTAAGACAGACTGAGATAGCATTTTCTTTGAAACTACTGTTCATTCATGTGTCAGACAAATTCAGGTAGTTCTGAGCACAATTAAGATTAAAAGGCAGTACAAAGAGCTGCCCTTAGAAATGTCTCTAATTCATCTTAAAATGCAGACAGTAATACAATATAATTGTATTACTATGCCTTACTATAGAAAATCTGTGGTTCCGCAGGCCCAAGATGAAGTCATTGGAGTTTTAAAGGCTGAAAAAATCAACCTGGCTTTACTTGAAGCACAATATGGCTTTGTTACTCCAAAAAAGGTCCTTGAGGCTCTTCAGCGAGATGCTATACAAGCCAAGGCTACACTATGGCAGGAGGATATCTATGAAAAACCCATGGGAGAGGTATGTATGATGCATGTTTGAAAAAGGATGTATGCAAGCGGGGATTAACCCTACAATGCACTGAATCAAAGTAACAGTTTCACTGATTTAGAGGGAGAACGGCAAATGCCAGCAAAGCAAAATATTCTTTGGTTGAGTAGCACAGACTGTGAGCTCAGAGCCTAAGGACCCTAGTCTTTAAATCCCCCTTGTAAATCTGACACATAATTTTGCTTTGAAAACATCCTTTAAGATTGGAGAGAGATAAATTGAGGGCAGGGATCTTACGCTTTTTTACAGATACACGAAGCACTGTGGGAGCCTTTCCAGCTACATTATGGGGAATAAATTTTATTAGTACATTAATGAATTCAAATAATGAATTCAAACACTACCTTAATGAGCAGCAAATAGAACAGTTCTGGAAATCACAGTGAAAGTATCAGAAAACAAAGATAACTGAATGCCTGCAATTATTCCAAATTGCACCCCGTTCTAACATGGGCAAAGTGCTAATGAAGGATTTCAGCAAAGCACTATGGGCAATGAAAAACATAAAACAGTCATTAAAACTGAATCAGTATTTTTTCCTGTATTCCAAAGTCTTTCACTTCATCACATAAATACACATGCTTCTGGAATAAGACTTATTGCAGCTTACTATAAAAGGTATGATGAATAGAATTCTTCCCCTGCACATTTTCCAGGCTTTTAAAAGAGATACACACCCCACAATGGTGCACCTTTGTTTCTAGATCATAAAGCAGTGGCATTCTTGTTTTTCTCGAAATCTATTGGAGTCCAAATATTGAAGTTAATGTCTTTTGAAAACACTAAGGTTATTAGGTCATATAAGTTACGAGAATGAATGGAAATGATCCAAAGAGTTGTCCTGCCCCTCCCACAAAATTCCAAAACATGATTTGGACTTCTTTCTTGCATCTGTTGTATAAACATTTAGTTCCTACCATTACATGGCATCAGAAGGGTTTCTAACACCGCTAGAATTTGGCAATATCAAAGGCAGAGGTCAAAATGGTAGAGATCCCTCACACTCACTGAAATTCTTGAAAGGGAAGAGATTGATAAGGGAAGAGATTGATGAACACCATTCAGAATATTTCCAAAGTCTATTTAAAGTTATGAAAATTGATTTTGTTGCCAGCATTAAATATTTATTAAAAGTGACAAGAAGCACCAATCACAGCTGCAGTGCAGGGATGAGCAAATCACTACGTGACTTCAAGTAACTATTCTGTTAACATACCTCATACCTCCACTTTCCCTGGGATTCTAACTGCTTGTTTCTTTGGAGCAATCTCTTAGCTTCTGCCAATAGTGTGACAGCTTCGCCAGCTGAGAATTACCAAATTATTCTGTGTGTATCTTGGTTCCTATTTAGGCCAGGGATAACAATGTGTTTCCAAGAAGAAAATTGCATGCTGCTTTCCTCTCTGCTTGTAATGAAGTACTAAGTGAAGCAGGCAACCTGGTTCTGAAATCATTAAGAAGGTCAATGTTTCACTAACTCCCAGTTTATCCAATTTTCCCCTGGCAATACAGGTTCAAACAATCGGTTTAGAAAGTCAATTCACTCTATTCACAACAGGTACTGGTAATTCACTGCAGATATGCTGCATGTGAACACACCAAAGCCACCTTGGTCTGGGGTCATGTAAATGGCCATTAGAAACAAAAGCATACGCAATCAAAGTGCTTATGGTTTTGAGGTGCACTGATTTGCATTTTTGTCTATTGATGACATGACACAGGGAAATGTGAATCAGCCCAGAGTCACCTCTACATAGTTTTCCAGTGCCTCTGGGGCTTCTACTTTTTAAAAAAACAGATCCTTTTGCATTGGCTCTGACAGTTCCTGCTTGAACTGATGCAGGAAGGATATAGCTGTGCACGCATGTGCTTACGCACACACACATATACCCAGCAGTGCCAGCACACACTCATAGCGAGCAGAGTCTCTCTCTGTGGTGCAGTGAACAGAATGTCAGACAAGGGTTGAGGAGACACAGGCTCACACGCCCACAGAAATTCACTGCGGGATGAATGACACTGGTAAAACATTTCCATTGAGTATCTCACATACCTTGACAAACCTACTAGAGTCACCATAATTTGGATGTTACAATGGCCCTTAACACACAAATAATCACAGGGTCATAGCCTGAAAATTTTATTCTAGCATAATAAATTAGACCACACTTCATGACATCAATTATAATTCTCATCAGGGCCCAAATTATTTGGAAATGTGATCCCAATGGAGATGTTCATCTCAGTTCAGGAGTACTGAGTGCTGCACATCAAGTTATGTGTGACCAGAGACAGATTAAATCAAAAAAAAAATTATGAAAATAATCTTCTTGTCCTCTTTCTCTTATGAAACAGCTAATTTTAAAGTAACTTTAAAGCTCTGGCGCTCATCTGCAAATGGAAAGTTTAAATCCCAGCCTTGAAAACTATTGCACAAGACCATAAAATTCAAAGTATCCGTGCAGATTTGTGGGGAAAATGGCAACACACTTTAAAAAATAAATTAAGTAGCTAGTCTTATCTTTTTAAGATCAACAACAACATTCAATTTACAGCTGATTCCAGATAAATCTATCCCATGATTGTTTTATATGGAGAGAGAGAAAAATCTGAAAACAATCCAATGGAGACAAACCTCTTAAAAAATCATAAAGTCTAGACTATCTTGGTCAAAGGGCCTCCAACTCTTGTCAAAACAGTAAAGAATAAGGGAAATCTGTTCCATTTCATGTTTCCCTTCATTAGGCACTTATTCAACTCATTAGTGTAACAGAAAGAGCAGCAAAGAACTTTCATCACTTCATAAACTAATAATTATATGAACAAGGTCCCTGGCTTTTACAAAGAGAACAAAAAAAATTAATATGAATCATGGCTAGACAAAGAACACTCCATCAATTAAGCACCCAGCCAAAAGGGGAGAAGAGGTTTACGTCTGTAAATCAAAAGGATTATACAGAGCATGCTTTTAATCATGATGATCAAGGCAGAAATGACTAATACTCCTTACCAATATCATCAATAAGATGAAGAATAAAAAGAAATGAGATATATCATAGAGGGATTTGCACTGGTTTATCAAGAGAAAAAAGAGAGAGATGTTGGTCCTGATTCTACAGTTTGACGTTGATTAACAGACATCTCTAAGAAAACACATAAAATAAAACTTTTAACTTTATATACTTTTATGTCGGCTTTCTCCAGCATTGCCATATTGGCCAGGAGCAATTTGTGTTGTAGACCAAGATATCTGGCCTGGACTAAAAGTTAGGGAAGCCTGCTTTATGTTGTACTTTACTTTTTAAGCACAATAAATGAACACAATAAAAGGTGATGGCTACTACTAATGGCCGTGAACTCTGCAGTTTAGAGAGTTTTAACAGTTTAAAAATCTGTTAAAAAATAATTAAAGCCATACAATCTGGAATATACAATATACAATCTGTAAAAATTATACAACGCTGAAAATATTTGCAAAAGGAAGATGGCAAATGTTACCTAGTGTTAGTATTATACTCTTATTTGTATTTCTCAGTCTTTAGTACAGGCACATTTGGTAAGCCAATATTGACTTTGTATGGCTAGTGATAACTTTCTTAAGGGCCTTAATATCACATGAAACAGCAGAAACTGGATAGCAAATCTCCAAGGGAACTCTCAATCCCCAATGCTACACTAGCTCTTTCAGAGTAACACTCTATGCATCTCTTTATCAATCAGCCTAATGCTCTTCTACTTTTCCTCTCTCTTACTGTCTTTCAATAGCATAATAGTCTTGCTGCACCACTGCAGTGAATTAGCTATCTACATTCCACTGCCTGTTTTATGGACTTAATACAGGCGGAGGAGAAGATCCACAACATGCAGCCACCATAGTAGTGTTATGCTTCTATGATCACAGAATGAAGTAGAAAGCTATGGCAGCTGTAGTACAGCAATTATTGGTTAAAGAAACCATCACATATATGTTTCTCACAATAACAACTGATGAAAGGACATTGTAATCCTTAAAGGCTGTCTCAGAATGCAAGGATTCCATCACAAAACATGGGTACTACATTTGTAGGCACTATACAGTGGCATTTGGAGCAGACAGATGGATGTAAATATTAGGATCATTGTATTAGCTTAAATACGATGTAGGGATGTGGTGGTGCTGTGGGTTAAACTGCAGAAGCCTCTGTGCTGCAAGGTCAGAAGAACAGCAGCCGTAAGATGAAATCCACGCGACAGAGTGAGCTCCCGTCACTTGTCCCAGCTCCTGCCAACCTAGCAGTTCGAAAGCATGTACTGTAAATGCAAATAGATAAATAGGTACCACCTCAATGGGAAGGTAAACAGCGTTCCATGTATAGCCACGCTGGCCACGTAACAACGGAAACTGTCTTTGGACAAACGCTGGCTCTATGGCTTGGAAACGGGGATGAGCACCGCCCCCTATTGTCGAACACGACTGACTAAAATGTCAAGGGGAACTTTTACCTATTAGCTTAAAATACAATTATAACTAGGTGATAGCAACTATATGAACTACAGCATGGATTCTCACAACTATTTCCCCCACTTTAACTCAGAGCACGTAGTACTTTGCATCAAGCTTGCTGTTTCTGCATCCAAAACAGTAACTGCAAATAAAAAAAAAATTGTTCAACAGCCTACTGTGGAATGAGGTATAGGTAAGAGTCCTGTAAAAATTAAAATTTCTGTAGAATTTCTCATCAGTGTAGCATCAAAATTAAATCAAATACATATCTGAAAGTGAAAAGAATTTGTTACAAGGTAATGCATCCCAAATGTTAATGTATTTACTTTTTCTTTGTTGCTTATCCCACTGCAACATCCTAGTCAAGACCAATACAAATAAGCTTTTATTAAAAAATAAAAAGTTTAAGAAAACCGAGTAGTTAGAAACCCTTATATTTTTCTTCTCAGCTTGACAAAGTGATTGAAAAGAATAAGGAAACACATAGGCGAATGCTGGAGCAGCTCCTAATGGTAGAAAAATCTCACAGGCAAACCCTGTATGACCTAGAAGATGAGAAGAGGAAGCATGCAGAGTACATGGAGAAAAGCGATGAATTTACTAATTTATTGGAACAAGAGCAAGAAAGGTAAGATGGCTTGAAAAGTACCAAATAGAGCCTAAATCCCCAATACTACATAAGCATTCTTTGCAATGTCCTCCTTCTGATTTATAATGTGGGTAGTTAACTAAATACATAAAACATAACTTTTGCAACATTATGGTGTAGATAAAATCATACACATTCAGTATCTTTTTAATGATAGTTCTCCATCTCACAACTGTTTCCCTTTCCCAGTATACAAGTATTATACTCTGCGGAATTCTGGTAAAAAAAATCACAAATACTTTTCATCTCTGATAACGCCTGATTCAATTCTGCACTTCAATGAGTTTCTGAAATATTGTTCTTCTTTTATTCTGTTTTCTCAGGTAGCAACAACTTTTTCTTTGTTAACAGAGGCTCCCTAATAAAGGGTGAAATAGGCCTATTGTGGAAACTGTGGATACAGCTATCACAGTTCCGGGGAACAATAAAGACTTCCCACTAAATATCTCTGCTCTGTTTTTCTAGAATCACTCCACTTTTTAAGTTTAGTTCATACATAACTTCAGTTGGTATTGAAAGTGGAATCAGTATTACATCAATGTTAAAAGCAGCCTTCTGCTCTCTGTGTGGAACTGCATGAAAATTGTGCAGAGATACTGGTTAATGAGGTAGGGCTGACGTGACTTACATCCATACTCAGCCACCACAGAGCACAAACTCATGTGTCACTTATGTAGTAAGGTTGTTAGCATGGGATTTTGTGACTGGCATGCAACATAGCAGGAGAGATCTTCTCAGCTTTCTTTACAGCAGGAAGCCTCTGCAGCTACAGGGCAGGCACCTTACTGTGAAACCAGCACAACCATGCATTGCTTAGTTTTCATTGTGTGCACACTATGTTCAGAACAGCAGCATTGTGTTCTGAGGATTACTGTAGAATGCAAGCAGTAATGAAAATGAATGACGTACAGCATAACAAAGGACAATAATATACTGAGGGAAGTCATGTATACCTTTGTACAGAGGCATTTCTCACTCATTCACATGGGGGAGGGGAAAGGGAGAGAGAATTAGTTGTATTTTAAAAAGAAATGGCTATACTTTGAAATAGGGATTGAATTTGTGAAAAAAATCCCAAAGAGAACAGGAAAATGTAATGGTCACATTTCTATTCCCCAGACAGTAACATTTGACTCTTGAAAGTATGAGAACACTGTCCCTGTCTCTCACTGCTCAGGACAGCTTCCAGATGGAAATGTTTGGGTGTGAGAATGGTGAGCCTATTCTAACCTCGTATGAGGCAGAGATATTACTTCCTCTCTCTGCCTGCATAACTTCATGTTTCATGTATCCTGGCATCGGTTGCAACAGTTCACCCTTCCTGCTGCACCTTCTTCCTTTAAGTCTGCCACAGAAAACATGCAGGTTCTCTCAAGTACTCAAGATATAGAGAGAGTTTTTAAATACACACACACACACAAACACAACAATTCCGCAGAGGAAAAAGCATAGAGGGTTACAAATAGATGAAGTAGGGCACAGATAGGGTCTGCCACAGAAAACATGCAGGTTCTCTCAGGTACTCAAGATACAGAGAGAGTTTTAAAAACACACACACACACACACACACACACACACACAAACACAACAATTCTGCAGGGGGGAAAAGCATAGAGGGCTACAAATAGATGAAGTAGGGCATGTATAGGAGACAGAAAGAGGGAGAAGCTATTTAAAAATAGGAACTACTTAATATGTATCCCAGTTTATGTGATTTCCCAAAAATCCAAAATTCAAACTAGTCTTTGCTGACCTGTTCTCCTAAATGTTTTCCAGAAAGAAACACAACAATTCTGCAGGGGGGAAAAGCATAGAGGGCTACAAATAGATGAAGTAGGGCATGTATAGGAGACAGAAAGAGGGAGAAGCTATTTAAAAATAGGAACTACTTAATATGTATCCCAGTTTATGTGATTTCCCAAAAATCCAAAATTCAAACTAGTCTTTGCTGACCTGTTCTCCTAAATGTTTTCCAGAAAGAAACCACACACACATTCAAACTAGTCTTTGCTGACCTGTTCTTCTAAATGTTTTCCACAAAGAAACCACACACACACACACACACACACACACAATCACACACAATACATCTAAACAAACAAGATCAACCCCAGAAACGTTGTCAAATTGTACAAGACTAGAAAGAAAGATGGTGAGCAAACATGGTTTTAGAAATAATGGGCAAACATTTTTGAAATGGGTGGAAATTAATTACCCTTATGATTTGCAATATTTACTAATATCTGTCTGGAAAGGAAAAAATCGAGGTGGCTAATAAGACGTTTGCAAATGCAATAACAGATTTTAGATTAAGTCTCAATTTCTGTGTTTTCTTTGGAGTACTTGTTTTATGTGGAAAACCCTAAAGGGCCATGATGTCACAACTTGAACAGGGTCCAAAGCATTTGCCAAGTGATGTCGCCATAAGCATCCCTTAGCAATTGCCTTCCAGAGTGAGAAAGCTCTCACAGAAGTTAAGGCAAAGTTCATTCATTATGATGCTATATAAACTGATCTCTCTCTCTCTCTCTCTCTCTCTCTCTCTCTCTTTCTGCACATTGGCTCTCTCTCTCTCTCTCTTTCACTCACTCACTCACACACAAACACACACACACATACACACACAAACACGCACACAAACACAAGTTTTGTCTTTCCATATTCAAGCATGTCACACTTTCAGATTCAGTGTGTTTGCCTAATGCCAAGCACAGTATCAGGCAAAAAAAGAGGGCATCACATAAAAAGGGGCTAAAAAATCTGTTAAAAGATCTGGTAAAAACATATCCTGTCAATACCACTTCCCACAAGTACCACATGTAGCAGTTGAGCAGGTAGCAACTAGGCAAGATATTCATTTGTCAACTAGTTTGGGAGAATTTTGTGAAGATGCAAGGGTAATGTAATCAGAGTGAGATGACAGATGAAAATAGAAGTGGCAACACAAACCCAAAACAGAAATATGATGCTGTGTCTGATGCCAGTAATGGACTGGATGAGGACAAATTAATGGAAACTTAATCCAGATAAAACAGAGGTGCTCCTGGTCTGTCGGAAGGCAGATTAAGGAATTCATCCTGTACTGGATGAGGTTCCACTCCCTCTGAAAACACAGGTGTGCATCTTGGTTGTGCTCCTGGAGCAGCCTCTGAATCTAAATGCCCAAGTTTTGGCTGGGAGAGGCTCTCTATAGTTAAAACTAGTGTGTCAGCTTTGCCCGTTCCTGGAGAGATCTGAACTGGCTACAGTGACACATACCTTAGTATTTTTCCTTGGGGACTATCTAGGAGACAATAAATGGGTTGGCTTTTATTGCTTCTAAATCTGTTTATCGTAATGTTTTTAATATAATCATTAATTCTTCTTCAATATTTGAATAATTTCCTTTTTTGGGGCTTTTAATATTGTGCTTTTAATGATGCAAGCTGCCTTGGGTTCTATTTTAGGAGAAAGGCAGGGTAAAAATATTTTAAATAAATACTTTTTCACCCTGCCTGACATCAAATGACTGCAAAGGAAATCAAGTGTAATTGAAACCATTATGCAGATATAAGCAGAGCAGGTATTTGTGTAGCATACTGACCATTCAGTCAATATATTGGACATACCTGGTACTGAAACAACATGCCCTGTAGTACACTTGTGATTCACTTATTCTAATGATCACTACCTGACCTCCCAATAAAATACTATGCTCTGCTAAAGTCTCTTCTCTACCTTTTGTATGTTGAATTCATTCATGTTACAACCAATCCTGCTTTCATTTAAAGACACAAAGAATATTTTTTCCTCAGTGATACAGAGAAACACCTAAATGCCTACCAATACAATGTTATCCGAATTTCAGACAAACTGTGAAATGACAAGCTGCTCCTGTAACTTCAGCCCATTATTATGTGTCCTGCATTCTGGAATGACTGAGAGCAGCTCCTGCCCATTCTCCATCTGATAACCTTTCAAGTATCAGCTTTCCTCAAGGCTAAACATGCCTCTTTTTTTCATTCATGTTACAATCAATCCTGCTTTCATTTAAAGACACAAAGAATATTTTTTCCTCCTCTGGATCAGTGATACAGAGAAACACCTAAATGCCCACCAATACAATGTTACCCGAATTTCAGACAAACTGTGAAATGATAAGCTGCTCCTGTAACTTCAGCCCATTATTATGTATCCTGCATTCTGGAATGACTGAGAGCAGTTCCTGCCCATTCTCCATCTGATAACCTTTCAAGTATCAGCTTTCCTCAACATCCCTCTTTTTTGGAAGATCCGCTGGTTCCCACTGTACAGTCCATTTTGTTCGTTTTCCTCTCAGGATTATGTCTAACTGCAACAGCAAATAGATTCAGAAAGAGCAGATGGTGGGCAAGCCACTTAAACAGTTTCAACTCCATCCTCTGAAGAATACATCACTGAGGGCATGCACTTTTAAAGAAAGAAATCTACACCAGGAACAGCAGCCAAAAGTGCAAGGCCTGGTCAACCAAGGGCAGTTACGGAGAAGGAGATGGTGAAGAAGCCCCTGCCAAGGACACAGGAACCTACCACAGGCTAAGATGAATCAGCTTTGAGGTAGTTACTAGGTAGCAGTGGTAGCAGAAAGTGACACAGGAGGTGGAGGCACTGCTGGTGACATTCAAACTAACCTTTGTTCATACTATGAAGTAGGTAGTAATGGTAAGGCCATGCTGAACTTTCCTCACCATGAAAACTTATAATGAGACAGTCCAAAATGAAACAAGAGATAGTGCTGGAAGATAAGGCTCCTGGGTTGGAAAACATTGAATTAGCTACTGAAGATGAGCAACGGACAAGTACAAATAGCTCTGTCTCTAATGATTCAACTGGATTAAAGCTGAAAGGATGTCTAGTGGCTGGACGTCCACTAGAAAGAAAAGTCCAAAGCTGCACAACATATACAGTTGGAACATGGAATGTGGGAAGTATGAATCAAGGTAGACTGGAAACCATAAAGC